CTGTTTTTCAACACAGGAAGTGCTGGAAGGTGGACCATAGTTTCTCCCCAGTCAAAAGCCTAAGGCAGGAGGAGTTTCTGAATGTCAGGAAAATGAGGCTACTTCTTCCTCAATACCTGAGTACTGTCATTTGTGCCTCTCAAAAAGATGGGCATGAAAAAAACAAAAAACAAAAAACAAGGCTCAAAGCATTTTAAGCTGCTCAAGTATTTACAAGGTAACTCCCAGAGAGTGAGAGGAGTCCCTGTTCCTGAGCGCCTTGCACTGTGAATGCTTTGCTAGCTGCCTTTGCACACAGTATCCTGCCCAGTGCTCTCCATCCTCCTCAGAAATCACCTCCAGGATTACATGAACTCTATTTCACAAAAGAGGGACCAGATTTTCTGAATATTTACATAATTTTCCCAAGATGACACACAAGGTACTTTCGAGTGTGGACATTTAATCTCCTTGTCAATCCTAAGAAAGAAAGAAAAGAAAAAAAAAAAGGTTGTCTTTGTTGTAAAGCCTTAGGAGGTCTTGGTAAGTACAAGGTAACATTAATTATCCTAAGTTTTCTTATCCATTTGCCCCCACACTGTCTCCAGTCCAGCAAGATCTGGAATTAAATCCTGATCCCAGGTCCCAGATCCAATGTCTGGCTTCCGGTATGAAGGCTGCATGATCTACCTCTCAAAGGTTTCTTCCAGGTTGGTGCCAGAGCACTGGCAATGGGCATGGTTCTCTAAGTGAAATGATTGTTTTCTCCACGTTGATCTAATTTGCAGAGCTGGATTTCTGATCAACTCACTCTGAGTTCTGGGAGATTGCCTAGTCATTCTAAGATTACAGTGTGGTTATTATAAATCCCTGCCCATAACCTAGTACCTGAGACAGTACAAGCTGCCTCTTTCGGGGAGTAGATGATCCTCCGGGGGGCCAGCCAGGCTCCTCAGTCTGCATTCCTCCAGCCCTAATTCACTGCTTATCTTTGCACCTCCAGTGTTTCTAAAAATCTGAGGTAACAAACAAGGTCCCCAGACTCCACACAGGTAAGTGCAAATGAGCGAATATGGTCTGAGGTGAACGAGGGCAGAATTACTGGGTCTATGGTTGTAGAGGGGAACGCTGCTCATGTATAAACATTTGAGAATGTGGGCCCAGTGTTATCACTTTTATGGATTTTTAAAGAGAAGATAAAAATCCCAATTTTTATGTAAAATTAGTAACTAATCCAGTGATATTTTCTTTTTCTGTTACGTGAACACACAAACCTGTACACTGTTCATAGTCCTTCAGTCTATGGCTTCTGGTTCAGATAATTGCTTAGTCCTGGCTTACAAAATATTATTCTCACAGACTGAAAAAGCATTACATTAGGAGAGATGAGTCAGCAACATAAATTGATGCTTGGTAATTATGGAAAATTCTGATAACCACATCAATGCATTACCCGAGTAGTCTACTCTAACTAATCTCAAGGGATAGTTCTCCGCAAGCCTCTCATGTTTCTACATATCTTATGAGTGGAGACACTGACAGCCTTTGTTTCAAACCATCTGTTCAGAAATGTTTTATATAACAAACTAGAGGCCTGGTGTACAGATTCATGTATCCTGGAGTCCCTCCACCTGGCCTGCAGGGATAGGGCCGAAAACGGCTCTCCAATATTCCCTGAGGAGTCCTGGATTACAAAAGGGCACAGGCCAGGGCAAAGGACCCCACTGGTGCATGATTGGAGCCAGGGAGGGTCCACAGGAGGACTCCAGGGCATGTCCAACCCATCTCACCCACTCCTAATTGGCCAGAGCCCAGCAGCAAGCTAACCTACTGGTTGAAGCATCTGCCCCCTCATGGCCAGTGTGTGTCATAGCGCCTGGTCTAATGGTTGGACACTTAGCATAATAGACTTTTATATATATAAATAGCCTTGTAAGAGAGATATGGAGACTCTCTCTCTCTAGAGCAATGCTAACTTCCCACTATAAAAATTTATGTTTCCCAAATTCAGGGTCCTCTCATATACTGCAACCTACTGCTCCATTTGTGTCCATCAATGAGATTTGTGCCTCAGGGATATAGTGAAAATGCTAATACTCTGATAATTGTTACCGTTCTGTTTACTAAGTCCCTGGTCTCTGATTCAGTAATGTCATGTTTTCTGCCGGCATCTATAAAACATGGCATATTAGCAAGTTAGGATGCAAATAGGGTAAAATCTCAAGTCCTTCATAGTTCTTAAAAATTGATATTAGCTTTTTTTTCATTCTGAACTCTGGCTATAGCAGCTACTCTAAAATTAAAAGCCTACTGTTTTCTTATATACTGGTTACCACATTTCCCTGAATCAATATATATCTATCTTGCTTTTTGAAAGTACAGCATTGGTTTATGCTCCATCAAAACAATCATGAACACCCATTTCAAACACCCAAATCTCTCCCTATCTCATTCTTTCTAGCTATTTTGGCCTCCATCTTCAACTTCAGAGAATAGCTTGATGCTTAGCAATCCAGCAAAACAACTAAGCAAAGAGACTGTCAAGCTATACTGCCTTGGTTTGAAACTATTGCTACCTACTGGCTGTGTTCTCTTAGACAAGTTATTTAATCAATTCACGCTGCAGTTTTCTTCTCTCTACAAATGAAAATAATAATAGTAACTAACTCTAAACATTACCTGAGAATTAAATAAGTTTTTATATTTAACATGCTTAGAATAGTATCTGGTACATAGCTAGAAGGCAATAAATATAACCAGTTACTCAACTGAATATTTTTCCAATAAATGCAGTCAAGGACCACCAGATTGTAATTTACAGTATAACCATATCACATGGAAGATGAATGGAAAATAATTTAGGGCTGAGTATGTATCTGGTCCTTTCTAAATTCAATAGTTTAAAGACATATTATTTCCATAGGTTTTCCCATTTGAAAAACCAACATCTCATATCCCAATCTTCTCCAAAGGACATGAAAGACCTTACAGCAACCCCTCTCAACTCAAGTTGTAAATATATAAATGTGTACAAAATGTACAAATAAAGGTTTTATTTAAAATGCCAAACTATTCTTCCATAGATGGCCTTGTAAACCCAGGATACCTAACTGCTGTTGGTGGGGTACCCCCTATTCCCCACCAGTTGCCAGTGGAAGTGAACCTCTTGGGGTGTTGCTGGAATTAGAGTTTCCAGAGGCCCCCACAGGAGGATGAGGTATCCTGGAAAGTGTTATTTTTGTGGAATTAAATCCCGGAGTTTCCAAGGTCCCCTCTCCCTCCATCCTGCCAAGGAAAAAGTCCCATTTCATCTTCAGCAGAGCTAGAATGAAAACCAGAGCTCAGAGTTTCTGCTACATATTTGCACAGTCCAGTCCAGCATCTGGCTAGGTTAGCTTATGTTCCCAGCTGCAGTTCATTGTGTGTAGGATCCACATGGCCCCGGGCCATGCAGCTTCTAGGGCCACATGGCTAGGGAGGGAACACCAAAGTGCAAGGAAGCAGGACAAAAGAGAGAAATTCTTTGTCTGGGGATTATGTATTCCCAAATTTTTGTGGGCCTGCATTGGGATCCACCCCTCTAGACAATGATCTTTGTCCCCCAATTAGACTGATAGGCAAGTACCTTCCCTATGTCACCCCAAGTCACTGTGCCTGCGCCCATCTTCCCTTTTGTCTAGTCCCTCCCCCAGGGATCCGCAGGGAATGGACCAGTGGTTTCCTGGGGAGTGTGCAATGGCAGCTTCCTGGTGAAGCGGCCCAGATGGTCGTGTTTATAATGTCTGGCCTTCCCTTTGCTCCTTTTCTGTTATTAATAACTAGCCGATTGCAATGGTAACACAACTATCATCACACAAATATTACCAGTTTTCTTCACAGCCTTAACCAAAAACTCAATTCACCAAATATCCTTTGTCTGAAGCATTGTTTCCATTGTTGTATTTACTGTGCAACAATTAAAAACAAAAATCCCAAAGGAGTAAAAGAGGAAAAGCCACAAAAATCTGATTGTATTTTCCTACACTTTCCTCTCCTTATTTTTCAAGCAGCTAATCCCCTCTCAAACTGTACAATAGAATAGCTAGACATAAAGAAGAGGGAGATAAAAGTGGCTAGCCAGTGCATTGTTCCTGCTAATCTGCGCCATTTACATAAGGGTTAGAAGGCTTGTTTTATCATTTAAAAAGGCTTAAAAGCCTCTTTGCAAATGAGATTTAGTGCCTACAGAAGAACGAATCCTAGCTATTTGGTGAGTTTCTGCTGGACCAGCACTGGGAGCTGACTTGGCAGTAACTTAAGCTACTTCTTTGGCCTCATACAGTACATGCAAAGATTGCTTCCAGCTGCCAAAACTGAAAAGCCTCAAGCTGATTAAATTCTTTCCAGGAGGTGAAAAGGATAAGGAGCAGGTTAAGAGGCCAATAATATTAGATGTTAGACTGTACCTGGGCACACTTGTGCATAATGCAGGTGCTTTAGAAGTAGCTTTGAACTTTTCCCCTTGAGTCTTCCTTTGAAAGGGAACAGAAGGCAGACAGCAAATGAGATTCAGAGACAGAGACTTAAAATAGTCCCAGACTGTGAAGTGAGGACAATCTAAACTCTTTGATTCATTGTTGGTGTGAGTGGCACTGGACACAAGGATCAACGGCACAGCAAACTCTCTTGCCAATGTTAGCACGAAAGATAAGTAGGAGGAAAAAATTATCTTTGCATAAAATACATGCTTTTCATAAAAACCTTAGATTTTTTAAAATATATTTTTATTGATATTTTAGGAAAGGAGAGGGATAGAGAGTTAGGAACATCTATGAGAGAAAATCATCAATCAGCTGCCTCTTGCACACACCCTACTGGGGATATGCCTGCAACCAAGGTACATGTCCTTGACCGGAATCGAACCCGGAACCTTTCAGTCCGCAGGCCGATGCTCTATCCACTGAGCCAAATCGGTTTTAGCAAAACCTTAGATTTTTTAAAATCAAAACCACAATATACACAACACTTATAATTTGTTTTACCTGGCACACCTTGAACAGATGTTCAGTGTGACCTTGGCCTGAAGTTCAGCAGGGTGAGTAGCACGACCTTGATTAAATTTGCTCCCAGAAGGTGCCAGAGTAGTTACTCCCTCCATTCTTAAGTCATCAAGATCCTCTGGAACAACACAAACAATTTCAGAGAGAAAAATTAAATGTTAATAGTATTGAGGAGAGAAGTCCATGTTTTCAGGTGTCTGCAAGTAGTTTAGAAGTTAAAACATTACATCTCCACATTGCAAAAACCTTACCTCATGCATCAATTATCTTTTAATCATTTCTAGATGTTGCTAGAGACAAATTATATGAGAAGATTTACAGTAAGCCAAACCACAACCTCTGCAGCAATTGGACCAAAATGGTCAGGGCTAGGTCAATGGCTATCAGCTTCCCTTCTTTTTGTCTTTACTTACAACTCAGAACAAACTAGAAAATGACAAATATGTTCCAACGGATTACAAAAGGTTCTTTGCTTCTAATTAGCCTGCCTTCTCCTTCCTCATCCAACAATCGCCAGCTAGAACATATCTGAAACTTTCTCTTTTTCCATTCTAAATCTTTCCTTCTTGTCTTCACCTGGGGAGGAGAATACTGTTCTCTGAAGTCCATTCCTATTTTTCCCAAATTCCCAATCAAGATTTAAAAGGTCTAAGTTTCCCTTGTAATTTGGTCCTGATACAATAGTACATGATATCCTGCTTTATTCAGAAAAAAAGAATCTTATAAAAGGTGTTCCATTTACTTGCTCTCAGACTTAGCAAAAAAGGGTACATAAAGTTTCAAAGGATAAATTATAATTTTGCCAAACATAATCTATTACTGAGTTTATAACCTGTGTAAGGAAGGCAGTCACTCTCTTTTGACAAGGCTGCAGAAAACCCAAACATTGTAGAGCTCTTACAAAACAACTCACATGAGTTCTAGGCTTAACTAGATAATGCAAACAAATTTTCCTGAGATTGTAACGACTCAGTCCAAGTCATGAACTGGCTTTCTGTAATCTGAAGGAGGCTTGCCAATAGATCCTTTCATAGGCATCTCCAATTGAAAATTCTTTCATCTACATAAGGAATCTGGACAAATACTTAGGGTTTTAACTCAACTTCATGATAGTCATAAAAAAATGCATCTCCTTGACCTGGTTGCAAAGGCTTATTTCCCTGTTTCAGGGAAATAGCTGCCACTTCAAAATTCTGCTTAACCAGTTATAAGCTCCTCTCTTGATCTCATGGTTACTCATGCAATGCAGACATTATGTTGCCTGTGAACATAGAGCACTTCTCAGCTAGCTAATTAATCTCTCATGAGAATGTGCTGAACATTCCCTCACATCACTCTTCACCACTGCAACACCCTGATCCTACAGAATAAAGAGCCTTACAATTTTTTTTTTACCTCAGTCAGGAAATCTGCCTGCCTCACTTACATTTGTTTAATAACTGAAAACTTGACCTAATATTATTCGTTGATAGATCATACATCAAAATTTGACCTAATATTATTCGTTGATATATCAAAACTTGAAACTGGAATGGAATATGCCACCACCAACTTAAGCTTGCCTTTAGAATACAATCCTTTGTGTTATTGCACTTACTTAAGCTCACCAACTATCCAAAGACCACAGTGTGTGTGTGTGTGTGTATATATCTACACACACACACACACACACACACACACACACACACACACTTTTCTTTTTAAAAAAATATGACTTAGGATGCTTTGGAAACAAATGTGTTCTCTACTCTGCTGAAAACCCTATTAAGACTTAATCTATTTGGCTCAGTGAATAGTGTGTCAGCCTGCGGTCTGAAGGGTCCCAGGTTTATTCCAGTCAAGGGCATGTACCTTGGTAGTGTGCACATTCCCAGTGGGGTGTGTGCAGGAAGCAGCTGATCCATGTTTCTCTGTCATCAATGTTTCTAACTCTCTATCTCTCTCCCTTTCCTCTTTGTAAAAAATAAATAAATAAAATGAAAAAAAAATTAAATTAAATTAAAATACACACACACACACACACACACACACACACACACACACAACCCTATCAAAAGTGAACAAGCAACCTAACTAGTTTGGCTCAGTGGATATAGCATCAGCTCATGAGCTGAAGGGCCCTGGGTTTGATTCTGGTCAAGGACACATACCTTGGTTGTAGGCTTGATCCCTGATCCTGGTTAGGGTACGTGCAGGAGGTAATCAACCAATGTGTCTCTCTCATGTCGATGTTTCTCTCTGTCTCTCCCTTTTCCTTCCACTCTCTTAAAAATCAATGGAAAAATATACTGGGGTGAAGACTAACAAAAAAAGTGAACAAGCTGTTTAAGACATGTTTAGATATACTCTTATTTCATAAAGATGTAGCTATTATAAAAGTTGGGGCTCATGAAAAAATAAATAATAATGAAGCTCAAGAAAATACTCTAGCAGATCGTTTTGCCAATAAGCAACCTTAACCATAGATATCATACTATCTAAACTCATCAAGGATAAATACTTAAAGGAATTCAAAGAAACTATTATGAATATCAACATTCAGCCCATAATTCTAGAAAAAAGGAAGAAAAAATATATGAGTCTAGCTTCACTCAGATAACCTTTGGTGCTTTCAAGATAGCTGTTGGATGATATTATTTATTTTCAAATGGATAGTAGCTAAATTTCTGCATGAAACTACTCATCATGATACAGATAAATTGCTTACTGTGTGAAATCAACATGACTGGATAAACAATTTTTAGTCTTTTTTTTTTTTTTTTTGTCGACAACACAATCTAGAAAAACTATAAGATTGGATATGGCCAGGAACAAAATCTTCAAGGGCTCTTTGAATATGGCATGAATTTTAAGCATCTTTCACACTCCACAAGATTTTAACGTTTTAGTTATATGTTTATTTTCAGGAAGGGTTGAAACATCTCTTTGGTAAAAAGCTACAGTCTTTATAGTTGCCAAAAAGCTGCCTTTTTGTTTTCAATCTTTGGAATACAAACTTTTGTATCAAGTACCCAAGGTACACACTTCCCAAGAAACATTAAAGAACCCCTTACTCAGAAACCATGGAGAGGTGGAATCAATAACATTCTTAAATTAAATTAACCAAACTTTCAGAAATCCTTGAGCTCCCATGGGCAAAGGCAGTCCCACTCACCCTTAATCAGTCTGGTCCACTTCCTGGGAACACACTGTTTACTTACCTAACTGGTAACTGTAGGGCCAATGTGCTTCAGGATTTTACCTAATACTGAGCTCTACTCTCTGTATCACACCTTGTAAAATATTGCATGGAACCCATATACCATACTCAGTCCTATCAACAAGAGGTTAAGGTCACATTCAAAATACCTTCTTACAGCCTCTTCGTAATATTCAACTATGATATTTTGTCCATTGGAAGATACCTCTAAAAAAATTGCTCTTGAACTTCATGGAAGGGATTTTATCAAATACTATAAACTACTAATACAGAAGTAAAACTCTCTGGAGTAAAACCTTGGATTCACATTTCACAACTAAAGAAACAATCCAGAATCAACAAAACAAGAAGCCTATTATAATAGGGGACCTCAAACAAGATTCTTTAGAACTGTCCAATGACTCTCATATAATGGACAGTTTCTGCCCAAGATGGTATATCAAACCCCTACTAATTCTTATTTTGTTTTTCATCTACTTACTTACAATCATTATTCTCATTTTCTGTAGACTCCTGGTTGCTGCCCAACCATGATGGCCTTTTTCCTCTTCTGTTCTCTTCTAGATCGGAGCATAATCAGTCTACCATCAATCTCAGATTATTCAGCTAATGTAAGGCCATGTCATGAATAATCCCTTTTTCCCTGGGTAACTGTGTGTTCCTACCAGATACTACTGGACTTCCTTTGCAGCCAGTATGGATAGGATCACTTTCCTCATACTAATAACTCATGCACTTTAGGAATAGTATCATAAAAATTATCTGTATATAGGCACTCTGATTCTATAAGTCATCAAACTGGAAATTATAATTCAGACATGAGTGCTAAATGAGGCTACCTTTGATTATTCAGGCACTTTACCTAGGAGAGTTATTGTTTTATTGTTTATGCAAATAAAGCAGTATATATATATATATATATATATATATATATATATATATATAACCCTGATATGCAAATAGACAGAATAGCGGAACAGAACAACTAGTGGCTATGATGTGTGCTAACCACCAGGGGGCACACATGGACCATAGTGGGCATCGGCCGCGATGTGATGGTAGAGCAGGTGAGCGGGGGTGCCAGCCCAAGGCAGGGTGCCAGTTGCTGTCATCAGGGCGATCGTCTGGTGGTCACTGAAAATTCTTTGCTCCTGTGTCCTGAGATCTCACCCAGCGCTTGGACCTGCTGCTGGAGCAGGCCCCATTCACACCCGCTGCCAGCGCCAGAGCCACTGCTTGCACCCGGCACCAGCCCCGATTGCTTGGCACCATCAGTGGGTGCAAGCAGTAACTGCCAGCCCCGATCACCCTTCAGGGCTTCTCCACCTCTCCCTGCTCCTGAGGGATGATTGAGGCCGGCAGCCTCCTCTTGCACCCGCTGCCAGCAACAAAGTCACTGCTCACACCCACTGCTGGTGCCCAGTGCCAGTCCCAATTGCTTGGTGCCATCAGCATAGAGCCAGGCTGCCGACATACAGGGGACTAGGGGCCATGGTGCAGAGGATGGGGCGAGAACCACCCCTGTGCTCACTGCAGCTTCATGGCCCACAGTTCCTTTCAAGGTGCACGAATTCAAGCACTGGGCCCTAGTTTCCAATAATAGGCATCATTCAAACATGATATGCAAGACATGTATGATTTTAACTCTGACAGACTTATATAAATAATACCACCTCTACCCTAGATAAAATATGCTCAGTCTCAATGCCTTGGCAAAAATAGTGATGAACAATCTAGATTTCATGTTCACTAGTCATGGTACTATCTGTGCCATTGATAATACTACTTGTTGTATTTGGCTCAATTAAACAGCTAAGGTAGAAAAAGAGTATATTACCTTAAGGAAAAAGGTACCCAACTCTTTAAGATTGATCTCTTATGACCTATGGGGTTGTTTTCTTGGCCTTGGTTGAACAATT